ATTCTAAAGAAAGTTTTATCATTACAGTTTTTAAATATAATTTAAATTATTCTGTTTAATATAATATTATTTTTGAAATCAATAACTCTCCGAACAGCAAAAACAAAAAATAATATCCAAATTTTGTTGAAATAGAATATTTTAAATATTTTACTAATAATTTATATTATATTATTATAATTGCTATTTTATCATATTTTTTTTAAAACATTTTCGTTTGTACAATTTTACTGTTTTGCTAACAATTTTGACTGTTTCATAACCAGTTTTGAACAATAATTACTTTTAAAGGTATCAAGAGTTAAAATTCAGGACAGTTATGTTAGCATCAGCGATTCTTTTAGTGCACTAACTTCAATCACGGACCCTTACTCCAAAAATAATCTGGTAAATCTAAGTGGCGATATCAGTAAGTTACTAATAAACAAATATCATTCGTGTGTGGGTTCGCTCGCATGAAAACAAAGGTCTAAGAGTCAACAGAGACAATCGACAAAATAACAAAAGCCTGGCAGGACAATTGGAACATCTTATCCCTCTCAAACAAGCTTAGAACTGTACAAGACTAATGTCCGAAAAAGGAAGTATCACACTGACGTTAAAAGAAGAGAGGAAATAACAATCACTCATACATTATTATTACCAAGGAATCCAAATCGACTGAAAGCTGTAATTAGTATTTAAGCAAAAGTAGACCAACAATAACAAATACAAATCACATTGTCCCCTCCTGTTGAAATACTTTTTTCATTCGCTGGTTTTCTACAGTCCTCTACCAAATATAAATAATTATCCAATCAATTATTTGAATAACTCATGTTCCTAAAAGTGGCAACTAAGAGTTTATTACTCAAAATGTATAGAATAAAAATTAGAATGTGCAATATTATTACTTAATGATAATGAGACTCAATTGTGACTATTGAGTATTGTATACGTATAATATATAATAATTAATAACGACTAAGTTGTTGATACAAAGATAATTATTTTTTTTATTTTTTATTTTTACATATTACAAATTTTGTATTATATTGACAATCTTGGTATGTATATACATCACTATTTTCTTATATATTGCTAAGCAATCACGCTAATCATGGGAAAACATTTTTTATTGCTTATCGTTATTACTTTTTTGGAGATTTATATTAATGTATTAATGACTTTACTTTTTAGGTGTCAAGTATGTAAAGTGATACTATATATAGTAAAAGTTTGAAAAATATATAAATGTTAGAAAAAAAAAAAATTTAATTTTAATTAATTATTATAGGTTTTGTATTTTCAACGGGTATGTTGTATCTTTTATAACTTAAAATATACTTGTACCTATTTCGTTATCTTGTATTTTGTTCGACTGCGTGGTTGTTAAGTTTAAATTAATGGTTGTTTAAGTGTTTTCGCCGTGTCTGTCGTTTTGCAAAAAAATCAATATTCTTCAGCTGGTTGTCATAAAAAAACAAAACAAGCTGAGAAATAGCAATACCTAACTGTAGACTTGCAATATCCGGCCGTTGGATATTGTCTTTGTGCATTTGCACGTGACATGCATAAAAACCTTTTCAGATCCTACACACAAAGCCTAACAAATGACAACCAATAATACACCTACATATTGGAAATCGACTTTCAATCCCTTCGAGTGCATTTTTTTTAAATTTAGCTAAATTACAAAAAAATACCAAACGTAACGTTCTCACATGCAATAACTGTCCGTGTGATAAATATACATTTTCTTCCAGACCTAGATTTCTACCCTTCTTTCTTTTCTTTTTCAAATACTGTACACAGACAAACAGTATTGTGCAGAATAGACATATTTTGTTTCGCCAATCCGTACACGAATGCCGTTAAAATGTGTTTTACAAACATGCTTACTATAAAAACAAGAAACCATTACTTATTATAGTTACATAACTTGTATTGAGCTACACTACATGTTTTATTGATATTTTCTATTTGTACAAGTCGAACGTTATAACTTTAATGAGTATTAAATGTATACAATTAATCGATTTAGTATACCTAATGTTATTTTATTAAACTTTATAGCATGCTTGCTAGCTGTAAAATATAAAATAGTTTTAATTACTAGTTTGACCTATAGTTGTTCTACGGTTTATATTATATATGTAGCCTGTAGGTATTAAAAAATGTCTTAAAGTGGACAATTCAAGTTAAACACAAACACTGTAATGATATATGTTAAACACAAAATCAAGAGCAGGGTAATTAATATTGGGCAAATACACACAGCAAATGAATATACTGTTAAACTAGTACAAGTTGGTCGTGAAAGGTTATAAATAAAATAGGTGTACAGGATGATTTTTTATCATAAGCCACTCAATATCTCATAGACTTTAATAAGAAATTAAAATTGGTAACGTATATACTTCATTAACTTGTTATATTGAGCGTGTGTTTTATCTAAGGCAAGGCTTAAAGTAATATGTATTTAGTAGATATTAGTACGCTTTTATTTACACTGTAAATACACAAAATAAAAGCAAGAAATCATTTAATAAATTTATATTTTATTTTTAAAGTTATTACAAAATATATTAACACGATTACAAATGCATATACAATATTATGGCAAAAAACAATAATAAACATAATATTAACATAATTACAATATTTAAAGTTATAACAAATAAAAAAATTCACAAATAATAGTTATACAGTTACAAAATATATTTGTTACATTTGTTGTCTTACTTAAAATTTTCTTGTGTTTTTATTTATCCATTATTATTTGTATACAGTTTATGTAAACTTTAGTAGTATTTGTTTTGTCAGTGGACATCCAACGTACGCCTACATTTAAACGACCCGTCTTGCTCGTCTTCAGGTAACTTCTTATGGGCTGTTATTAGAAACTGTAACAAATATAATAACAAAAATACAAATAGTGTATTATTTAAAAATCAGTTTTTAGTCCTGCATATGCAAATAACTATATGAATATTCAGTATGATAAATTCATGTAAAATCCCCTAACATGGTAAAATAAAAAATAAATTATTCTAGATTATTACCAACTCAACAAATACTTACAAAACCGTGTTTTTCGGTAAAGATTCAAATGTATGTCAGATATGAAAATAGTAAACAAAATAAGGTAATACGAATTTAAAAAAGAAGGTGACAAGAATGTAAAAAAAAGGGTAACAAAGAATATTATTAAGATCATTATGTTATAGCAAAATTATATTATTTAATATTATATCGAATAAAATAAACAGTTGGTTGAAATTTTTCATTTGCTTTCAAATTAATAGCAACAAAGCATTGAAGCTAAAAATTATGAAAAATTGAGACCATGTTGTAAAAAAACAATAGGAAAAAAAATGTTGATTTCTAATAAACCCTATGAGATGTTGAGTGGCTCATGATAAAAAAATCACTCTGTATGTATCTTTATAGATGCAATGCCAAGTTAAGGGTTAAGGGCTTTACTGACAATCAAAACGGATTGTTTTCATTAACTATTAATACTGGACCGTTATTAATTATTTAACATGCAACTCTATTCGAAAGTTTCTCCTATGTAAATAATTATTTCCGTTTTTACTCTTTATGACCTACACAGCTTTAGAGTACCTTTGCTATTTGTTATTCTTCTACTAAGCTATTTCAACTACAAATGGATTACATTAAAAATACCCATCCAAAACCGAAACACTGACTTACCTGCATGGTTTTGTTTGTGTACCGGTGTTATATTATAATAATATAAAATAATGTTTAACCGACTACAGAGAAACGATTTCAGCATTTCAAACGGTCTGTGTAATACCCAGACCGGCATGATATCTTAACTTTCAACGATAAATCACTTTATTGCAAAAAGGCCAGAGTTTATTGGCAAGTTTTAAACGTGTTTTATTACCAACCATATTCGAGTTTAACAATGAGTATGTTGACCAAAAGTTTTCCATTTCAGAGATTCGTACAGTTCACTTCATTGTTAACAAATACCTATACCTACACTGAAGTGAGTAAGTATAGCTGTTCTAACTTCTAATACAATATCCAATGAAATAAAACCACACGCGCTAAACAAATATATTATATTATTTCTCGGTTGTAAGACCGTCAAACTTTTGCCAATTTCGGTTTCGTTTTACTTTCGCTAGGCTTATCTACTTAAATATAACTTACAATGATTTCTGATCATAACTTACTAGGCAGGTTTCGTCTGATGTTAAACATTTTAATTGTTTTTTTTTTAATTTTTAGAAAATAAGTTTTAAAGCACATTTCAAGGGCTATAATTTTTTCCCACTAAAAATGTACCTATAATATCTACTGCGTAGAAGTAAAATTGATTCTCAAAAGAAAGTAAAAATTGCTACAATATAAAGTGAAAATTGTATTTTAACACCTATAACTAAACTTGAACACATTTTGTTACCACGCTAGATTTAAGAACATTGTAAAAATGTAAGTACAACTTTTGGACTTAATTGCCCACTTGATATGGGTATTAAAATACTTGGACGTTTTCAAACAAACTCAAGTAATTTCAATTGTTTCGAAAAACATATTAACGCACTTTAAATAAACTTAAATTGTTTAAGCATTTTTGTCCGTACTATGTATTATTACTTACAATACTTGGTAGTTCGAATATCAGAAAAAATAAGAAAACTTGTAATTGTTCAACTTTATCAAAAGATTAAAACACAAAAAAATGATAAACTTTATTATTTTTTTTAAACAAAATTAAATTTTAAGAAAACAAATGAAAGTTGCACTTTTTTATAATGCATCAATAGATTATTAAATAACAAATTATAAAATTTCACACAATGACATGGTCTAAAAATGTACTGTTAATAAACACTGACTTGTTTCAAATAAAATTTAAGACACCAATAGAATTTGGAATAAAACATTACTATGTTTGATAGCAGTGCATTGGTAAAATCAATATAGATAGTCAAAAATAATAGTTACTGCTAAAGTAAAGTTTAGTAAATGTATCAGAGACTGAAATTTATTCTTCGGTTGATGCTACAGCTGTCATTAATATAACTTCGAATGAAAACGGAGAAAATGCATAACCAAGTCCTTTGTAAAATTTGCTTTGGAACTCTACCCTGTAAAATTGAATTTCATTTTATGGATTAACAACATAACATTAAAAATAATGATTCCATTAAAAAAAAAAAGCCAAACGATTAATCATTATTTACCAATGCAAACGGAGTGTGTGCAAGAATGCAGAGAGTCCCTCCATAAGTACAAGAATGCTTACGGTGAGAATTGCCCAAAAAAGGAAGTAGAAATATACCAAAACACCTTGGAAATAGCCAAGTTCTTCCTGGGAAAAAGCTTTTCTCAATATCATATTCCACAGCACGTCAGATAATTCTATAATTACATTCGTGCGTTAGGATTAGGATTCAAAGAAAATAGATAAGTTTAATATTTAAAAAAAAAAACCTACGTGCGTGAGCTAAAGAAAGAGCCCACAATCTAAGGTAAGAAGCTGTGTGACTCACCGATCCCAGCACATACTCAATTGTATGAATGCCTTGATAAATAAATAGTTCACCAATTTCGTTTTCACCGTGACCTCCATGACCACCACCAGCTCTTTCTGCATTGCCATTTTCAGTAGTGGCATGTCCATTCACTAGCTGTTAAAATTAATTACTTACTCCGTTATTTAACAGTTTTAAACATATGAGTCCTTACTTGTTCACTTTAGTAATGGACGAGATTACCAGTGACATACAGGGGAAGGTACCATAGTGCATGATGTATTGTTAGTGGGCGAAAGTCTGGAAGAATTGTGTGAGAGACTTGAAGAGTGTAGAGAGCGCTTGAAGGGAAAGAATGCAGATAGGTGATGATGTAATATGTGAAGGTTGATAGCTTCAAGCACTTAGGATCAGTAGTAAAAAAAAATGGTGGGTATGAGAAGGACGTGCATAATAGCATAAATTGTGTATGAATAAAGAGGAGCTCCCCTAATCAGGTGTTTTGTGTGACAGGAGGATACCTATATGATTGAAAAGTAAACTGTATAGGACGGCAGTGAGACCAGCAATGGCATATGGGTCGGAATGTTAGACAGTAGGCAAGAAAACTGAACAGAGAATGAATACATAAGGGGGGGGGGGTCTAGGAGTTGCATACATTTTGGGGAAAATGAGAGAGAATAGGTTGAGTTGGTTCGGTCATGTGAAGAGAAGAGACAAGACAAAGGCAGTGAGAGTTGTTTTGACGACTGAACGAGGTGCAAAAGATCAAGCTTTATGGATGTGTAGGACTAGCCCATGTAGTTGGGAATGCAAGGCGAAGACTAGAAGAAGAACTCGACATTTAATGGTTTTATTTCGTTTGAATGGTGATTAGCATTACCTGAACATGTTTTTCTTTTTGTCTCATGACGCAAATAGGTTTTGCAAATAACATAATTGGAACACACAAAACTGCCACAAAGACTAAACATTTTTGCAAAGTCTCCTAAAAAATAAATTAAGTATTTATAAAAATGTATTATACAGATGATAATATATTTTAGTGATTTAAATTACTTGTCCTGAAAACATGTACACAGTATTACAATGTTCTAGTGGCGGATTGTCTTTAAACAAGACCATGTTGATAAATGTAATCAAAATAGACGGTGCACAAGCTGGACTTTTTGGAAAATCTGTAACCATACAAGTTATGCGTACCAGTGTTATAATTAACATAATGTTTAAAAATGTTAAACTAACCATTTTGAGGACCATACGTTATCCATTTATAGAACATTAACAATACCATGTAGAAGAATAGGGACGTCAAGAATATGAATTGAGGGATAAATTCACAGTAAACAGATAGTCTGTCATTGAAATATCTGAAAGCATAATTACAAAAAAAAAACATAAGCTTTAACTATGTTAACTATGAAACTATGTTTTAAAATTTATAGTTTCGGATTATAAAAAAAATGTTCACCTATAATTGTACAAACTGAGAGTTACACCAAACAACATGTGAAGTACGCCAAATATAATAGAAATTTTCATTTTGTATGCGTTTAAAAATACAATTTTATTTTCTGCCAGCTATAAAGATATAGAAATATTAATTTAAAAAAATATACATGTATAATTTTTATGTTTATACATGTTTTATACCTGCCATACAGGATCGAGTCCCAAAGGATATGGGGTTTGATCATAGTTTGATGACAATGCTGGATTCAACTGTAGGAATTTATTGTCCAGCACTGTAGAGACGTTATAGTTTGTATGCCAACGACAACCGAATAAGTTGAGAGATTTAGAAAATATATCATTATAGATTAGACCGGTGTACATTGCAAATAAACCCATCAACAATATAATGTAACGACCAGCAAAAAGTATGTTCCACACCTAAAATTGCAAGTTTATACAAAATATTACAACATAAATTACCATAACGTTATCATTTTTTTATTTATTAACAATAATTTATTTACTAACTTCGTTGTCGTTTTTTTTGGCAGCCAATGATTTTTCGAGTAAAACCAAAAAGGCAGCAAATAAAAACATTAAAGTTCCATGACCAAGATCACCAAACATGACAGCAAACAAAAATGGAAAACTGATAATAGTGTATGGAGCTAAAGCATAATATAGTATAAAATGTCAAAAGAGAATAATTATTAATATTAAATTCTATTTACCGTATTAAACAACTTCTTAACTCACCCGGATTAATTTCTCTGTAACTAGCAATTCCATAGGCGTCCACTAAATTTTGGAAAGCACTGGTAAATTTATTTGTACGGTTATAAGTCGGCGGATTTTCAAATTTTTTTATTCTGTTTAAAATAGGTGGTACAGAGCTTCCACTTCGATGCTATAAACAATATTGTTAAAATCGATACATGTTAATTTTACAAACTTTAAATAATTGGTTAACAATTGAAATAATGTAAATAGTCACTTTTTATTCTAACTTACTGTTCCTCTAAGTAAAGCAAGTTGAATAGTCTCGATATCAAGTAACGGTACCCAGCACTCGGCAATTAAACATTTTTGTGTTACGTCCAAGTTAAAAAAGTTTAGTGTGTGATAAATAGCCTTGATTTTGATAACTTTGATAAACCAACTTTTTATATTCTTGGCGGCAGCGACGAGTACACGATGTCGATGATCGTTGGTTTGGTTCAATACCTAAAATGACGGTGCAAATTGAATTATTGGAAATAATCAAACTCTAATTTGATGTGAACCGGATAATCATACAGTGTTTAAGTCTTCTATGCGGGTCAACACACCCATAGCCATTTCACGGCGCCGTGGTGGAGCTTCTGGACAGGGGTACAATGTCGCACGGAAACCTTCACAAATTTTCCTTACCCGAGACCTCAGTTGATCACCTTGGAAGAATATTATGAACACCGATTTGTCCTCTGGTTCTCCCTACAGAAAACACAATGGGGTGTCGATTCAAATACACTGTACAGTCCAAATATACTAACTGTGGATGGATCTGTTAATGGTGTTCCTATTTCAGCTAGCCTCAAAAAAACATTGCCTCGGCAGACTCGCCACAACATTCGCTCAAACGCAGGAATCCTTCCACGCATTATAACTCCGGCAACAAATCTTAATTTGTTAAAAAAAAAAAAATCATAAATTATTTTTATTATGCAACAAAATAGTTTACATAGATCATTGTGATCGTTTGTTTTGCCATAAAAACGAATAAGACATAACTATTTTAATATAGTTTATATATATATATATATTAGGATTTTGGAAGAATTGCCAATGTCATATCTTAGTCCGAACTGGACTTGAAATAAGTTCATTTTTTCCACTCCTCAGCTCTAAAGTTATGCGGTTAATTAAATATTCATAACTTTCACAGAAAAACATAAAAAGATGCCTATATTAGATATTAGCATGAAAAAAAAACAAACAATTATACTTAATTTCAAGAAAAAAAATATTATTCAGTGGTAAAATAAAAAATAGTATTTTGATATAAAGCCAACAATCCTATTAAACATAAATTGTTTTTTTACTTATATAAGTAAATAAATTATGTTTAACAAATTAAAAATATACAGGACATAGTTGGGTGCAGAGTTTACTATTTATTGATTCTATTTTTATGTTTTCCGTCTATATGTAATTTTTTTGTTAAAGAAAATATTTCGGCAATTGAATTGATTATTATCTGAACATAGGTTCCACATGCATACTATTAGCAAATAGTAATAATATCTAAAAACAAATAATAGCATTTTAAGAGAAGTCTAATGACTATGATATTTTCTTTTCTTTACGTTAAGGTTTCTTCATGACTCTATGGTAAAAATTTATTTGAAACATTAAAATTAAAAAAAAAAAATGTTTATGTTCGTAGAATAGATTGACAGAATTTATATTAGTAAAAAAACATTTGTGTGAATCTACCTGAATAGTGTTCCCACCTTTACCAGTCAAATTTTGTTTCAATATTTTTGAACCCCACAAAACAACCAAGTTGAATACCTGCATTTATATCACATTAAAACAAAATCGCATATTTAATTGCAGCAATAAAGACTGTTACTTTGTTTGGAGAAAAATAAAAGCAAATAGCATTGTGTGTGACCGTAGTATATAGTGTAAATAATGAAATGTGATGTTACCCTAAATTGAGGACTTGACCTCCAGCACGCAGTCCTTCTTCGCCTAGCAATAAAACTTGTTCGTCATTTTGGTCAGCCATCTGCAAAGCAACCGCACATGCAGGCATGTGTTTTTGTTTTATTTTAGAAATGTTTGACAAAAGGTCTTAAATGAAAAAGCTAGTATAGAAAATATTAAAATGTAGTTTTTGACATACGCCACTTATTATATTTAAAGCAAATAAAAATACATGCTTAAATGAATAACACTACTTTCTAGAATAAAAAACCAAAACCAGGAAGTTTTGTAAATATTTAAATAGGTCAATAGCGAAAATTATTAAGTATGTTTTTTCTTTTAATTAAAAATTAACATAAACAATTTAAAATAATCTACATTTTTACTTTTGTTAATAAAACTGAAATCAGGATGACTTGGTTTGTAAGTGATAAATTAAGATAAAACATACAATTATATTGGTTTAAAATTCACTTTATTTTACTACGACTCTAAAATTTGACTAGAATACCAAAAATTGCTAAATTAGCCACTTAAATAAATAATGTGTAAATATTAAATATTATTACAATATAAAGATGTGTACCTAAGTAAAATGTTTTGATAAAAATTAAAAAAAAAAATCGCTAAACTTTGAAAATAAATTACTTTTGGATTTTCGGATTTCAACAAATCAAATTTACCTATTTGGTGAATTGTTTTGTTTTTACATTTTCATCAAACATTTATGACTTAGGTACACAGCTTGATATTGTAATAATATTTAAAAGTTTTTAAGTGGCCCAAATGGAGTTTTTTTTTTGTGAAATCCTGATTTCCAAATTCTCATTACTAATTGCTACTATACTTACATATTATTAATATTTTTAACAGCTACCCAATATCAAAAGTGCATGCTTATCAATTTTTTTTTATTTATGTTGACTACGATAAAATAAAACTGAATCACTAACAATACTAAATAGTTATTTAAAATGTATTAACATTTTTTTCCAAATTACAACATTTGTTTATAATTAATTACAAATAATAAAACATTAAATTGTATTTATTACTTATACTTCACTAAGGTTGTAATAAATTTATTAATTTAAACCACAGCTTTCTTTTTATTCTACTCAGACAATACATTATAAGTCTAGTAATACAAGTTTTACCTTTACAATTGCTAATATTTATAGTACTTGACAGTTGACTATCACATTTACTAATATTGCTAATTTAAATGCACATGATAAGCAAGACATTAATTGCTAAAGTTTTAATGTTAAATAAAAATATTTAAAATCTTGAATACATTGAGTTATGTTTGCACAGTAACAAGTAAATTTTTACAAATACATAAATGTAATGGTATTATCATTATAAAAGATAACACATAAATTAGCTTGTTAAATTAGAAATACATTTTGGTTTGATTAATTGAAAATATTATACAAGTGTTTTTATTGATACACACTATGATATAATAAGTTAATGTATATAGGTAGGTATTTGTTGTACCTAGTTCTATCACTTTGTTAAACTATGAACATAAGTTATGTACCTTTTTGTTTTCTTTAATAGTGTTAAAATTTATAAGATTTTTAAGAATTATTACCTCATTTTACCATAATGTACATAATTACTATAAATAAATATATTGTTACTAGTAACATACAAAATAAAGATCAAATGTATTAACTTAGTACATTTTAATAGAAACAACTAAATATGATTATGAAGATGATAAATAAACTAAATAATATTTAAAAAAAAAATAATAAACTACAAAATTAATCTAATTATTGTACATTTTTAAAAGAATGCACAAAAAATTGTTTTTAAATTTTAAAAGCAAATTCAATATAAAAAAACATACAATTCTAAGAGATTAAAACAATAAAATAAACTAAGCATTAAAATAATGATAAAAACTCTAACAAATAGTTTTTTTTTAGGTACCTAATTAGTGAGGAGGTCTTTGTTAAAAATTACGCTGCCGGACACAAAAACTCTTGAGATTATTATAAAAATAAAAAAAATAAACTACATTTTTTTTATTTTTAAATTTTAAACAGTTAAATAAAATAAAATGTTATAACATATTTAAATAGATTACAAAAATCAATTTCCCATATAAAGCAAATTCCTTACCAAAATCTTTAATTTAAGAAAATGTTGATAATACGTTATGTTTAATTTGTTATTATACTCTAATTTGAATTAAAATATCTTATTTATTTATACTATTTAAAATGAAATATATTATTACCAAGAAATTTACCTCATCAAAGAATACTTGTGTCTTTCGTAAAACATGTTTAAGCTCAGTTAGTTCAAGAAAATTGCGTTTTAATGTTTCAGCGTTATGGTTGACTTCTCTCAATTCAGTTTCAAGCTTATCAAATGTAGCCTATAAACAAATGATAAAACAGTTTAAGAATTCTTAAAGTTAATTTAAAAATATCCAAAATTTAAAATATACAATAAGTGGCTATTTATGGGCTTAGGGGGCTGGTAGAAGCAGTCTATGTGTTTTTTTTTTATCATTCTAAGAAAAAAATTGAAACCTATAAGATTTGTTTGGCTAAAAACAATGATAAAATCAAAACAAACCTAATTTTGTCAAATATCTGTCTGTAGATCTAAAGTTGCGATAACAACGATAAATTTGATATTAACACTAATTTTCCTAAGTAATGTAATTCATTCTATGGTGAATATTTATATTATTTTTTAGAAGAAACCAAAATATTTTACTTCAAGATCAATAATTTCACGAGGTTGTGGAGCTTCTGGATTTTCACCCGTGTCTAATATTTTAATGCCGTTCTTTTTAATTTCTCTTTCCAAGTAACGCAGTTTTCTTTCCATTTCATAGCAACGACGGACTTCGCCAACATATTTACGTTGGAACGAATTAACGTTTGAATTCAACTATAACATAACACATAAAAATCACAAGTTAACTATTATTCCATAAGAAAGTAAATGCAGATAAAAATACATAATGGTGCAAACAATATATTATGATGTTCATATATTAATTATAAAAATAATACTCCTAGAAATGTATTTTACATTTAAAAACCACTTAAATACCTTTTTAATTTTAAATATGAAAAATGATTGTATGATATGATATGATTATGATATAATGATCTAACACTTATTCAACCAATTATATTTTTTATTGAGTGAAAAAATATTTTAAGAAATATTTTAAAAAGGGACATACCATACATACTACATACGTTCCAAGTCTTGAAGTAACTTTAAATTACCTAGGTACTTGGATTAATTTTTAATAAATCTGTTTTGTATTCTACTTCTAATTTATAAAACAAATTAAATATTTTAAATTTTAAGTCCTTGTATATAAAAACACATTTGTTTGTTTATGTATAATGTGAAAAATTACATTTCTGATACGAGTCATAACTATTGTTCTCTTTTTAAAATTTAATTCCAGTGTTATTGTACCTAAAATGAGAGCATTACTATTTGAGCAATTTAGCCCTAAATATTTATTTACAAAATTTGGCATTATAGGTACATAACTTTAACATAAGTAATTATGATAAAAAATTGTTAAATGTATATTATTGATAGGATTTGTTTTAATGAACGTTTATTAATCATGATATAATATTAAATTGTTAACAGTTTATATTAAAAAGTTTGATAAGTAATTTATATCTAGTTATAGTATTAGTTTTATACAGGTTTCTTTTTTAAATATTAGATATGAGTTTCTCAGCCATTGGCTTTTGAGGAGATCCATATAAATTCTACCTACATTTCGTGGGTAACATTGTAATTGGCAATTGTGATGAAGGAATAAATAAACATAATTATTATAATTGTACTCACATCTTTAAACTCCACTAGACCTAATTCGCCGAGTTCGGAAACACAAGCATACGCGGCTTCATTTTGTAAAAACAATTGGCATAATGCCATTTCTTCGCTGCGAAACACCGAGCTCATGATGGACTTTTTTGTCGGGATCAAACACCAATAAAATCGAACTTGCTTAACAAACACAACTTGAAAAACGTTTTGCACCGTCAGAAATCAGAGTTCAAAATAATGAAAAAAACTTGTCGATGTGCGCTCATGTACATTGTTACAATATGGTTGCCGGTTTTCTGCGGTCTACCCTAAGAAATAACACATGGTTCACGGCTGCCAGAAAAAACCGGCAGCCATTTCGACGTTATCAATTTTGTCCATCATACGAATCACGGAATAACCAGAAGGGAAACTTTAAAAAAATTACACGGGTTATTATGAGCCGTCGAAAAACGCCGGCTGCCTGATAAATTATCATTGTTTTTGCGGCGGAGAACCAGACCACAATAGATAATGTACGATAATAACGATTGTAAGGAATCCCCAAAAACAAAATGTCGGAAACTTATCAGCCCCGGCTTAAGTTTCCCTTCTGTGATCATAATAATATTGTATAATCATTTAAAAGTCTGATGTTGGCAACAGCGTCCGTTGGGAAACACATTGTATTGTCATTGGATACTCATCAAATACAAACATCATATTTTAACGAATAACGGCCATTTTATTTGTATTAAAAGTTAAGACGCTACCAGACGTTGATTACGTTTAACTGACTGGCCAATTCAACGGTAAATACTAAATTATCCATTTAGATATTATTTGCTTATAGCTGTATTGACTAATAATATCAAAATATTTGTCTTATATGGGAAATGCACATTATATGTGATGTTGTTAATGCCAGTTTTCGGTCTCCCGTCTTTCTTAGGTGACTTTAACGAACGCAATCGCGCAGCAATAAAATGTTTTAGCAACGCCAATTCTGTAGACAGATTTTAAAATATATATATATTTAAAACTCACTGAGGATCAACATGTATAGAAATCGGGTAGTCCCATCGTATTTACTAAAACAAAATGGACACCCATTTTGTTTTAGCCAGAAACAGACAAAGATTGTTTATGGCGTGTAATGGTCAAAGTGGTGAGAATAAAAAAAAACGAAGTGATTTTTATACAATTTTACAGGGCACCGAAAAGTTGGTATTTTTAATGTGTGTTCTTATGGGCGATGTTCATCAATTAAGTATGCTTAATACGATTATCTCCTTAAAAAATTGAAGACAAATTATTTAACAAGTGCATATAGTAAAAAGTGTCATTAACAAATTATATATAATAATAAACTCGCTTTGGAAAGAAATGGCTATTTGTACCCTTTTTCATTTTGGTTCTCTACGCTTCAAGTATAACATTTGTACAACGTTTTGTGTTAAATGTTCTCTATCGATTCAGACATCTCTCTTCGATGGCGTTTACTGCGTAAAGAATAATATAATGTTGTAATATTTCTTTGTCTATAAAATATATTCTAATCTATAGCGGCTGTATGGGTCATGGAGGAGAAACGTCATTACGGCAAGGTTAATTAGAACGCTATCATTAGACGGAATAGAGAGTGATACGAGGATAGCTGGAGTGATCGATCGAGATGTAAAAGATCAAGCTTAATGGAGGTGTACGACTAGGGTGGCCGACCTTATGTAGTTGGTAATGTAAGGCGAAGATCAATCAATAAAGAAAAAGAAGATCAATTTATCAGTTCTTATTCTAATATTATTATTATTTTTAACATAAAATTTAATAAATGGGAGGGTTGATGATAGTAATCTTCTTAGCCTAATTAATTTTACGGTTCTTTCCATAATATTATCGACGATCGAATATTGATTTTATGTTGAACAACACCGAACATTTTACGGTACGCTCTCGCCTATTAATAGGTCTCTCTTCGCATGTAATAATATTAAACTTCATGTATTTTTTGATGATATAATCAGGATAAAACATGTTAGAAGGGTACATATTTCTGTACATAAATGTTAAACGTGTGATGATATTTTGTTGTAGTGACAATGGTTGCAGACAGATGGCAGAATGCAGGCGCCTCTACAAATGTAACGTTGGCTCAATGCATTTTTCTCAAAAATCCATCCTCGCTGTACACGTATGCACGCACACAGGTGAAAAGCCTTATACATGTAATGTGTGTCGTAAGTCATTTGCTCAAAAAGCCAACCTCGATAAACACGAACGTGTTCATACTGCTGAATAGGCCTAGAAATATAATGTGTACTTTAATTTAAGTTTTTTTATATTTTAATATGCCGCAATGTGCCCATCCTGTTAAATTATATTAAAATAAAACTGAAAAATGTAAAATTATAAAATTGGTATTTACACATATATTATTTATATATATATTATATATCTTTAAATATAAATTTCTTCTCCTCCTAAACGGCTGGACAGATATTTATGAAATTTTGTGTGCGCAATTAAGTTGATTCGAGAAACGTTTATATTCACAATTTGATCCGACAGAACATGTTTATAATTTTTAAATGATTAATTATGATTATTAATAGTATCAATAGTTATCAATAAATCTCTGTGGTTTTTCATTGTATATCTCAACAAGTCTTGTTTTTTTATCGGTATCTGGCTAAATTGCAAACTTTTTGAAATTGATGAAAAATTGGTAATTTTTTCAGGAGAATAAAATAACGTTTGTTATTCACATAAGGCAACTAAAACTAGAAAAGACTCTTTATCAAATTCAAGTAACGTACAGTTATGAAATCAAAGTTAAAACTTTATTAAACTATGCGGTTTTTGATTAACGCGTTTATACCATACGTGATTTTCAAGTCAGTTTTTTATTCCGCCTGTCACTTGGCACACATGATAATTACGTTCATGGTAAATCTGTCAGAATTCTGGTTACAGTAGTTAATCATCTAACAATGTATCAATAAAAAAACTTGGTCAACTCGGTGGAAATAGTCAACAAGTATCTAATGCTCGTATAAAACTGCAAATCGTACACAGCCTACAACAATACTCCACATAAACCAACACTTGTATTTTAAAATCTATTTTGGATTAACTTTAATTCAAAAGTACACAACTAGTAATAAATTACAAATAACAGTTGATAACTAAGTGTACGCTTTAAATTGTGTAATTTATCACCATGGTCTATCGACAGCCTATTATACTTCAACAATTAAGCATGACAATACATATTTTGTGACCATCTATCTAGTATAATATTACACTGAAAAAATAAATAATTTAACCGTCTTAAATTATGGTTACTATAGAGACATAATAAATGTATAGCTGGAATAACTAAATAAATAGTTCAGTCAACTGAATGTTAATATAAAGCAAATATTTATTTAGTTAATCCAATTATATGTACATTTATTTTGTATTACCCTTACTTAACCATACTCAATGATGGTCTAAGTATTTTTTTCCGTGCATACTACTATTGAACCGCTTGTGGGTAATATTTATATTTCTTGTCGGGTTAAGTTTATAAAATCCGTCAACCTATATATTGGAAATAATCCAAACTTCAAGTTTATACAAAAAACAAAGATATTATAAACTATTGCCTGCTGGTATAAAAGTTAACTATACCTTGTAAACCAGTCAACCTTTATATAATACTTGGAAGTAACCCACAATTGTCAAGTTATTTAAATATTTTAATCCCATACAAGTTTTGCGAACCAGGATCTAGAATTATAGTGGTAACAAAAAAAAAATAAAAACACGTCATTGTCAACTAATTAAAACATTCTGAACCTCGGATGACAATAAAACGTTATATACGTTATACACGTGATATGGCACGTGGTTGGATTATCGAACTAAAATCATATACATAGATGATAAAATATAATGTACCAGAAACCAGTCAGTAAATTGAGCAAACGCTTAAGTAGTACGCTACATGTTTTATATAAATCTCAAAGTTAAGTCAAACCCGAAATCGGTTTCAAATTGTTAATTGTCATATAACTGCTTACTATATGGTAAACTTTCCTTCTAGAAGGGGTGGAACGTTTATCATTTTCAATTAGATCACCGAAAATACTATTTTAGTACAATCTTCAAACTTGTTCCATAGAAAAAATAAAAACGCATCGTTATGCAAAACAATACCTTCTCAGTTCTACGTCGAAATTTATACACGGTAATCAAACAAACGTAAAACATTTATTCTGTTAAAAAATATTAATTTTACTGTATTGTTTTAAATTAACAATAATTAACGTGCTTTAGTAGTGGCTCTACTGCCAAATATCAATAATGAGTAAAGGCTTAGAATGTATAGAAGAACGCAGGTACTTACCAACGTGTGAATTTTATAATGTATGTAAAAGAAAAACACTAAACTATAAAATATAAATATGCTGTACTTGATGGGTATTCGAATAAAGTCATCCATCCATAATAGGTATTACAGGTTATTGAAATACAAATTTGTTTATATTCTGTCAAACAAGACGTGCTATAATCATGTCTTACAGCTTATTTTTTGTTTGCATCTATGTATAGTAATAAACTTATTAAGGACAAGACACTAATTTTTTTTTAAATAATTGCAACTACCTATATGATTTTTATTTAGAATTTTTTTCTTTTGTCATTGTTATTAAATTTATTATAGCCCAGTTAAAAATTTCAGCAAATTGTTCTTGAATAAAAAAAAAATAAACTAAATATGTACGTTATCGTTTAAGGTTCGAAAGTTGATAAGGCTCTGAAAAAAAAGCATAACAATTTGAATATTGACTAATTTTGTAAAACAAAATTGTTTTCAAATAGAAAAACTACAAAATCGCAATATCGTTTTAAGAGAAAATGAGAGTTTTAATCCTTAATGAATCACCCTGTACAAAGCGGCCGTGGTGTTACAGATATAATTTTAGCAGATGTTGATTTTTCTGTAGAATATTATAATAATTTCGTTCTTTCTATAGAATATGGTGTTGCGCACAGGAATCATTGAAATCGATATCCGTAGGCTGTTAGGTTTAGTTGGATTATATTGTAATACCACAGGATCAGAAGGCGTTCGGATACCTGCAAGTAAATGAAAAAAACCTCATTTAATAATACTTTTGAACTAATACTACAATACTTTCAACTAAGCCGGTGGTAGATAGGGAGAGTAGATTTGAACAGAGTTCACCACAATACATTAGAGCATTCGGAGATCAGGATCGCAGCTGTTGGGCGTTTCGCTATCTTACCGGCAGACGTGTGGGATTAATTAAGTAGTTTTAATTTAAACGACA